TGCTCTTGCATTTTTCTCTGCATCTCATCCCATTGCTCTTGCATTTTTCTCTGCATCTCTGTCAGCATGTTCATGATTTTTATTTTGAATTCTTTTTCAGGAGGACTGGTTAGGTCTGTCTCCTTCTCAGGTGTTGTCTCTGTGATCTTTGTCTGCCTGTAGTTTTGCCTTTTCATGGTGATAGAGATAGTTTGCAGAGCTGGTACGAGTGACCGCTGGAAGAGCTTCCCTTTTTGTTGGTTTGTGGCCTTCCTCTCCCCCTGCACAAGGCGCTGGATTCTTGCATGTGTGGATGTGGTCTGGATGTTGTCCTGTGTCCTCTGGTCTCTATTTTAGGAAGAGTTTTCTTTGTTATATTTTCATAGATCTATGTGTTTTTGGTAGGAGATTTCCGCTGCTCTACTCATGCCGCCATCTTGGCTCCGCCCCCAGTTTGCATCTTTTATATGAGAGACTTGTGAGTCTATGTTTAGCATGTGCTGATTATTTGAGATAAAATCAATCTTAAATAATCAGATTTATTCAAAACATTTACCCAAGTGCTTTTTGCTTTTGGAAAAAGGTATATTTTAGAAAGCTACTTGATGCTGCCACATGCCATTCTTTATAAATGCAACTTTATAAATATTTTGCTTTGCTTCTGGAACTTTGAAATCGCTGTGATGTGGTCTATTACATTTTGGAGACAGTTTGAAACTCTCCAAGTAGAGCTTTACTGCATGTTTTCTCTCCACATTATTGAAAAGCAATTTTAAACACTTATATTAAAAACATTCATGCATCCACAGGAGTGGATATCTTTAGAGACATAAAATGAATTATTATATTTTGAAATAAAATATTAGAGCATGGAAAGAACAGCTTTAATTTAGATAAATAAAACAAAAAATTAGAATCATTATTCAGGAATATGCCCTACATGTTCACAAATTACTTCTCTTATTACTAGTGATCACAAATAAATTTATTGGCTCATCTTAATACCATTTTTTTCAGGGGATCTGTTTTTCTGATTGTATCTATGGACAGGCATTGACTCTATTGGTGTAACAGAAACTCAAAAAGAATGTCTTACATTTGATGAATTTATAATCTATCCAGTGACTCAGGAACACCTCTTGTTTCCTGCATCCTCTCCTACTCATATCTAGAGGTACTTTTTAAAAATAAAAATAAAGACCTATTTAAAAATAGAACTAAGTTTTTGAGGCTTGTGTCCTGTTTTCTTTTAAGTATACATAAAAGGAAGGAAAATTGTATATATTTATTAACATTCAATTTACTTCAGTCTTGAGAATCTATTACCCAGAAGAATAAGCCATATTTGTCTGGATTTGTACAATTTACAAAATCCTTTGACACCCATTATTTGAGGCCATGTGACTAGTCTTAGGTCACTCAGAGAAGTGAAAAAAGCATAGCACTTGATAAAAATGTTAACATATCAGTTTTTATCTCAGATGGCTTAAAAATATCTTCTACTTTACTGGTTTTGAATTGTAGTCTCTCCATTCTGCCAGGTAGACAAACCTATTTAGATAATTCTGCTGTGCAATTTTATATTTCCAGCTATTTTGTAACAGGCTTTTAGAGAGCTTTACAGTCATCATGATTTTCCTATGTCTTACTAAAAAAAAGTCATGCGTCCAAAAATGTTCATTCATTGAATAAATGGGACCATTTGGAAAATTTGAAAATGTTGCTCAGCTAGGTAAATATAAACACATTTAAAGTAGACATTCTTTTATCTTTAGAATCCACCAAAGTTCATGTTTGTAGAAGTCAGATAATTGGAATAGTATTTTAAAACGAACTCAGATGGCACCATCAAAAAAGTCTGATGTTTACAATATAGCACATAGAAAAAAAATAAAAAGTTTTAGAAAACTTAAAGGAAAGAGAACACCAACGATGCATGGCCCATGATAATGCTGGAAATCAAGTCTGAAAGCTCATTATGTATCACTGAGAATTGTAGAATGAATATGTAGTGTTTCACATATGAAGGAAAACAAGCTGATTTTTTCCCCTATACTTCCCATGGAGCTCTGAATCTAAAAAAACTACAGAAGAAAGTAATGTAAAATTTGAAGAGAAGGGACATTACAAAAAATGGAAACACGATCCACACTCTTTCCATCATTAAATGACAGGTATTTCGTTTGAATAGAAATAAAGTTTAATCAAACATTTTTAAGTCTTAAAAAAGCTAACTTAGGAAGTCTACAAAAGAGAACATCTTATTAATTAGAATTTGTTTTTCTTATTAAAATGTTCTTTTCTGGGGCAGCTTTACAGGCATTTTTTTTTAAGTGTGTGACTTACTGTCCTAATAGCAATTATCAAATGTGCCAGGAATATATGAGTCATCTCCAATGTTTCCTAGAAGCCTTCTTTTGACTTAAGAAGAAAAATTTGGCATCTGTGTAATTTCACTGAATGTCTGAAAGGCATAATAAAGAAGGAATCTGTCTGCAAGGTGATCCTTTACTTGTAAGATAGCACTTTGAGAGCTCTTTAGATTCAGTGGAATCTTGTGTCCAATAATACAAAATTGTTCAGCTAGTCTATAGTACATGTTAAATTCGGCAAGTTTCATTATGTGCTTAAGTATGTAGGAATTCATCAGAAAACAAGGTCAACATAAAGAATGAATTCTGTCAAAAATGCTTTTCAATTTCTAATTTTTATAAAATTGTGTTAGACTGATCCCTAAGCCTTAACTTAGGTTAGTCTGATGTGATAAACACTTATTGATAAACTTAAAAACTGTTGTTCACACTACACTGATAAATGAGTCACTGTTTCAATGATGGGAGAAATTAAATAGGTTTGATTAGTGAGAGGATCTAGGGATGGGAGAGTGGGAAGGCTTAGTTTAGTTGCACTGAACACATTTATATCTTAATGACGGCAAATTGAATATAAAAATTGCACTTTAGTGAATTTAAGTTCAATTAAAAAATGAGAATCAAAGCAGAGTTGTTACAAGACTATTGTTTTGAACTTGCAATTGAATCATTATGCATAGTACTCAGAGTCCAGAAGGGAAAACTTCGTCAAGTGTTTGAAATGTATTTGAAATAGGAAGAGCTTAAGAGAATGTGATTCATTCTGAGTGAATAAGATGTGACAAGTTCAGTGCACATGTTCCTGGAACCAAAGAAATCTAAACAGATTGAAGGGTGACTTTGGATCTGAAATTATGAAATTGTGATTGTCTTGGGAGAGTAAAAGATGTAGTAGTACCACTAATGATTCTTTTATATCTCTGGCTCCAAAAGTTACCCTTTCTTCTTGATCTAACCCACCACTTTAATGTAAAAATATTTGATACATTGAAAATATATCTGTTCTTTTGAAATTCTATTCAAAGATGGGGATTTTAAATGTATTTTGCCACTACTCTTATGCTATTGTTAATAATACAAGAAAGACACAGAATGCGTTTGTAGGAATACTTGGCTTTCCCTCTCACCTTTTATTTGTTTTTTCTTTGCTTGACCAAAGCCTCAGAGATGACTCTGGAGTGTTAGGGAAAGTATATTTGCTGGTTTCATAAGAGTTGACCCAGTATCTTTCTCAGTTTCCAGCCCTCTAGGTGGTTACTTACAAGTGCTGTGGGCAAGGGTGCAGCCACAGAACTTGTTCATAAACGGGGAGCACATTTCCTTTCCTTTGAGGAGTAAGTGCTGGAAATACCCACAGCTGGTTTCTCAGACACTCGTGCTGCTGGGAGCCAACTAGACACAGTAAAGGACCACTTAGGAAACTGAGGACATTTTGTTGTGTGAAAGACTCACAATGCTAAGATAAAAATGAAGTCTTTGTGTATAAGAGCAGGAGGAAAGCACACTGGTTAAAGTTACTGTTTTGTATTCTTTTTATGGGTCTTTATTTTTATTTCAGAAACACATTTATCTTCCAGTAACCACTACATGTTAAACATTTTGTTTAGAAAAATGTGTGGTATATGGATAATTTTCAATCTTTCAGGTCATTGAACATTTATTGAATTTATAGTTGTATAGAACATTGTACTGAGTTAAAGGGAATGAAAAGACAGAGGAGACATAATTCATAACCTGAATGAATATATATCCTAAAGGGATTTAAATCGAACATTTTCTGAGCATACAGATACTATTGTAGGCAGTATTCAGAAGGCTGAATAGTATTAATATAACTTGAAGTATCTTATCATTACTCTCTGAATAACTTGAGACTGATTTTAATAGCTCAACTAATTAAATAACATATCAAACAACTCAATATATTTCTGTTCAAAGACAATAACAAATCTTTATAGTTTGTTATTAAAGGATTGTTTTCAGTATTAAAAAGCTGACATTCAGGTTATGACTGGGGTGTGATAAAATAATAAATGTGTATGAGTTTTCTTTCAATCATAGTAAAATGCATTACTGACATAGAGAAATTGAGTCATGTAATGTTTGTCTCTCAGCTTAACAATAAAAATGGAATGAAATGCTAAACAAAAAATCAGTAAATATTTATAGTATGTATAAAGTTATTGACGTTTCTAACCACATTTTCATAATAAATTTCCTGTATGGTAATACACTTGAAATTAAAGTTTGAGAAAAATAGATACATCACACTTGGAAAAAAATCAGCATTTTGAAAGCAAATGGAAAAAAAATTACCTAATAACAGCAACTTCACAGTTCTTGCATCTCTCTCAGCATCTTTCTGAAGCTTTTTCTCCAGTTCCTTTGATCTTTTGGCTGACTCCTTGTTCTCTGAGCTAATTCTGCTTCCCATCTTGTGGTGTTAGATATTTGTCAGCTTATTTGCTCAAACTTTTTCAAACGCAGAGCTCAGCTCTCTGGTTAAGACACAGGATCCAAGAGTAATGCTCTGTCCAGCTACCCAGCAGCCCAGTCCCTCACTCTCTAAGATTCTGCTTTGACTAAGGAGAAGCTTTCTGAACTGTCACCTGATCAGAGGGTCAAATCATACAGCCCTGTGGCTGTATGGTTGAAGCTAAAGAGGAAATTCCTATGCTTTTAAATTAAATGGCTACTTCTAGAACATCTTTGAAAATCTACTCATCTCCTTAAAGAAGAGTATACAGTAATGTAGAAAGTTGTCCAAATCTATACACCAAAGATAATCTGAAATGAGCAATTCAAATGGAAAGCTTCTTACTAATAAGCAATCTTTTTACTGTTACTTGAAGTTATTACTAGTCAAGAAGCTTGCATCTTTTCTTCTGTCTTCAAATTCTTAATAATCACTCTAACTACCAGATTATATTGAATTATCCACTTATAGTCTACTGTACTTAGATTCTCACTCAGCTTTTGAGAATCTCTACAGAAGCTGCTGTACTGTAAGGACTGTTATTGATTTGGTACCAAGGGAATAAAAAGTGGCATACTCTGAAACAGTAGGTAATTTGGTTCTTCCTGAAAAGTTAGAATAGTGCAGTATACCTAAATAGGTTCCATACCTCATAATTGCTCTGTATACTACCTATAGGATAATACCCTACCCTAATAGTAATCGTGTACTTCTTGAAAATCTGCAAGCTTGGGGACAGAGATTATATTGAACAATTTTTTTGTTTATGTGAAGCATAAAACACTTGTTAGGTCATCAATCAATATTTTCCTACCTGGGGCAGCAGGCAAATCTTTCAATGCACATTTTGGAATTTGTGCATGTGGGTTACCAGGAAATACTAGAATAGAGTCAGCTCATCAGCTTGTCAGTGCTGATCTTCTTGTGGGATCGTGTGCAAAGTCTGAACAGGTGGGTTTTTGCATATTCATGCAAGGCAATAGGCTTCTGAGTTAAATACATATTCCTGCTTTGTTTATTTTTTCACATAAAATAATAGTCTGCATATACATAAGCATAGTCAAAACTTTTTGGATTTCATCCCTTCAAATCCATGTGAGATGATAGTACAAAAATGTGGACAAGTAGGTATGCAAGGGTTTGTGCAAATCATGTGCTATTGCTTTTACAATGCAAAGGGCCTGCCCCAAAGGAACAGAATTCACACTGCCCGGTTTATTTATACTTACCCAGGAACAGAGTCCGTTCTGACAGAAACACAAAAGAACACAAACACTGAAATCTGTTTTTGCCAATTGTTTTTATGTCAAAATTGATTATACACAGTACCCTGAATGTACAAGATTCTTGTATGTTCCGTAGCAATTATTAACTGGCAAAGTACTTCATATGAATTGACAACGGATGAAGTAATACCCTATAGCTTTTTGCTCTTTCATAATATAGCCCATAGCTGCTTGGTGGGGACATACCCTGGTTTTGAAAGGATATGCATTTTACTAAGACTTCTTGTGTGGATTTCTGACTAAAACTGACCATCTTTTAGGAGTAGAAGTGTACATTTTCTGCACTGTGTAAAATTATGAAATTTTACTTTTCTATGTAACCCCGAATGTTTAGTCATCAAGTTTATGAGATTATTATGTGATTTTTTTCATCAGGGACTAAAATATTCTTAACATAAAATTCAAGATGCATCTATATTTAGGAGAGGCAGCCTGGGGAGAGCCAGAGAGTAGTTTCCTTTCTCAGCCCTTTCCCCTGGGTACCTGGGACTCAGCTTCACTAATGAGCTGTAGTTGTTAACACAGTTGTTAGTCTGTGTTGCCTCACTTAGAATTAGAGCTTTCTGGACCTAAGAAAATGGTGAAAATAAAATAGCAAATTCCACTAGTGTGGGGGATAGTATCTTATTCCCTTGGCTATGCACAGGATTTGAACTTGCCATACGAAGTGTTCAGAAATTATTTCTTGCTAATGCATTACTAGAGTCCTAGAGCCCCTAGAGCCCCTTTTCTCTTGTGCTCTGCTGGGATGACAGTATGGTTGCGTTTCTTCTAAAATTCAGCATCATAGTGGGTTTATCTCAACACCCTAGAAAGTTTAGAATAACTCCAAAATCAATGAAAAAGCCCAATTGTATATTGAAATACTGTCAATCTATAAAATTACAATTGTTACACTGTTTAAGCTTTTCTTTCTCAGCCTGAAAAATAACACCAGCATACTCCCTTTCTGTGGTTAAACCCTGTTCTGTACTGAGGGGAAAATTGATAGAAGATGGCAACAAGAAAAGGTAACTAAATTAGATGCTTTTTATTCAGGGAAAAACGTGGCCATAAATTTTGTTTGTTCTTCAAAACAAGGTACAGAAGGCTTTCCAGGACACCACCATGTTAGACTTGTATATATTGGTCAGCTAAATAGAGACTGCTCTGTGTGTACACCCACACACATGCATGTACAACCGCTGCACATATACTGAAAGCAAGGGACATGGTGTTGGAACACTGTGGTCTTTTAGAAAAGTCATTGAGAATGACTTCTAAAAACTTTGTTGCTTTTTTCTTTTCTTTTCTTTTTTTTTTGTATCACAGCATTACCTGACTGAGCATACCTTCTTTTGATACGAGGCTGTGCAAGGAAGAAAATCAACTTGAGGTAAAATACAGAGAGTAAGCCCTCAACTCTAAAGGTCACTGAAATACCACAAGCTTGTCACTGAAATACCACAGGCTTGCCTGGTGTGAATAATTTTTCCTCTGGCTATTTTTGGTCGGGGTCTCTGTGGAATCTTCAAAAGAGGATATTAGCCCTTAAAAGGTTTGAGTAATCACTATTTTATATTTATAATTCAACATCCAGCTTGAGATGGCATGCAGATATTTCCCACCTGCTTTTAGTAATGAGATTTCAACCTACATTTTTGGAGACATCTCTTTTGCCAGTATTACCTGGGCTTCTACAGTTATCAGGATGGATTCCCCCTGAGAATGTGCCATGTGGCTGACTTCAGTAAGTAGCCTCAATGGCTCAGCTCCTTGTAGAAATTGTAAAGACAAGCTGCCATCTGTATTACTCTTTATTTTGTTTCCATTTTTTATAGGAGGTGTTGACTTCAGGCCTTGGGTCTCCAGGTATTTCGAGGCCTGGCTGCCTTAACAATGACCTTTATCCTTGCATATTCCCATGAAATTTGAGGCAAACCATGCCTTGTTTGCTAATGGTACTCATATGTGTACTTCTGGGAGCCTTGTGCATAGTAGTTCCTCCAGAGAGTTCATGTCTTCGGGGACTTGCTGAGAGAGGTCTTTTGATCTGAAGGGAATAGGACAAAACTTGCTGTTTCAAGTTAGTACATTGAGATGGTGCAATAAGTTTACAATGTCAGCATTACACAGCTATTATGTCTTAAAAGGTAATATGAATATTTATTTTTATTCATTAGAGTCGATTTCTACCTTTGCATATGCCCCATACTCTTCTTTATGGATAAGGATATGATTGTATGCAATGATTATTGAAAATAAAAATGTTACAAGCTTAACTGACAGAGAAGATGAGAGTCATGATTTCCCAAGGAGCCTTTTTCTGTCCCAAATTCTGCCTCTTTTGGGATGTTTTTTTATGTGTCTTTTAACACAACATTTCCACTATTTAATCCCTTAATCTTGTTCCTCAGTAACTTCAGTCCTGATTATTGCCATTTAGGTTTAACCTGATTCTAGTCTCTAGGTTTCCTTAGATTCCAGCCTCTGAATCTTAGGTTTCCTGATTCTAGTCCCTGCCCTAGTCCAGTGGAACCTGTCTGACTGTGCCAGGTTAAACTTCCTCAAACCCAAATTTCATTACTATACTTCCCTTGTTGAAAAAACAAGAACTCCTTTTTTATTACAGACTCCTGTTTTAGTCCTGCTACCAATAATCTAGTTAGCACTACCCATTGTCCAGTGTATCTCCCAGTACTTTGCATAACAACTCCTCTCTTATAGCCGGACTTCAGCTCTTCCCTACTTAGGTGCCCCAGCTTAGCTTTCACTCATGCTTTTCTTCTTCCCTTGGAATATTGTGCTTTTCCATAGCTGACTTTATATACTACCAATTCTTTAAGAAAGAACCTAATATGCATATTCTCTGTTATGCGTCTCAGTGACTGACACCATTGGGTGATTCTTTACTTTCCAAATTCCTAAGAGGAATCTGCGGCTGCTCAGTTTGTGCTTCCTCACTAGGTAGGCAGGATACATTCCCGTGCTTATACCTTCTGGTTCTTCTCTTCTGTTTGCAGATTCTAAACTGACAGTAACTAGAAAATCTTGTTCATTAAAATAATCAGTGAATAGTGAGTGATTGAGAGACAGTTGGAGTTTGATAGCTCTTTGTTCCATCATGGAAATGATGATCCTCCTTCCCAAATGATTCCAAGTTAGAAATATTACCTCTAGAATTGCAGGAATTCATTTATTCAGCAACTGATGTATTCAGCATTCTATACCAGGCATGGAAGATTCAGCAGTAAACAAATTAGATATCTCTTCTCACAGAACTTAAATTTTAGTATGTGAGTCTGTAGAGGGGTTCACCCAAACAATAAATATGATGAATATTTAAAGTATATATAACCGCAGATGGTGACAAATGTTAAGACAAACAACAGCAACAACAGAATGAATGAAGTGTGGTGGTGGTGGTGAGGATGATATTGGAAGTTTATATAACATATCCAGGGAAGACCTAACTGAAAAGATAATTGTTTTAGATTAAGTTCCCTTAAAACTGACTTTAGGGACTCTCTTGTCCCCTCCTGGTGTGAGCCAGGAGCTCTGTCCTTTCACTGTATCTCTAAATAAAAGCCTGTACCTTGCTCTCCTAAAAAAAAAAA